TTTAAGGTTTGTTCTGAAAAAGCCTACTTTCTTTTTTCTTTGTAATTATATATATATATATTTTTTTTTCAGTTTAGAGAACAACTACGCATTAACTCCATTAACAACTCAGTAACTAGTTAATTAAATAACATTTAAGGGGCCTACCACATGGTTCATTGGGTAGGTGGTAGGCAAGCCTGGCAACCTAAATTCACCTCCTGGAGCCCTTGTAAAGATGAAAGAGAACACAAATTCCATAGAGCTTGTTCTCTGACCTCCGCGCATGCATTATGACACAAACTCTCTACCCACCCCCCATGTAGAGTCCATGCAAAATAATCATTTAAATCAACAGCGTCTGATGACCCCATTTAAGTCAGGTTGTCTGCGTCTTGTGTGCTGGCCCTTTATGATGTGACAGCATGAAGGTGCATTTCCTCCTCTCCCCACCTGTCGGGTCCCATGGCCCCTGCTCCATCTCGGAATCCAAGCTTTTGTGATTTTTCTGCTGTTCTTTCCCAGAACAGCACTCACCTCAGTGAAAACTTTCATAGTCCTCATCATGCCAAGGCCATGGGCTGTTCTTACAGTCTTGCCTTCAGGTTGTAGACTTTTTGTGCTGTGTTCTACACAGCTTCCAGCTTCTCTCTGTATTCCAGTTTTTTTGAAGCCTGCTCACAGTTCAAATGTTTTTGTTTCTCCCTGTTCCCTCTAGTTGTTTGTCTGTGTTTTGTTTTTGTTTTTTTCTTCCTGACCAGAGGCCTGTTAGAACTTGGACTTCTGGTATAGTCCAGTGTCTTCTTCCTTGTTTGCTGTCGTTGGGAAAGTTGGAATTACTAGGGAATTCCTTATTGATCTGCTGGAGAGAGAAGAGCATACGTGGATTGCATACATCAGACAAGATACATAAGCAGATACAGTGCTATTAAGTTACTTTTCCATAGGGGATGGGGTAATAAGCATTAGCTCATCTTTTCTCTTAAGGTACAGAAATGAGTTCAGTAGAAGATGGAATTTAATTAAGACATCCATGACTTCACTGTGGATTTCCTTTTAGATGAGCACATTTCCGTTTGTATTGTTAGACCCCCAGAAAGCTATGGGCATGTTCATTATTGTGTATAAGTTTAGCTCTGGCATTTCTTACCTGATTTAAAGAGCAAAACTTAGAACCTACAAAGCAGTATTTCTAGGAATCCTGAATTTTATTAAGCTAAGCAAATCGTGTGACTTAGAAATGATTTTTTTTTTTAAGTATGGGTGAGTAAAAGAGGGAGAAATCATTAATCCCAAGTTTCTATCAAGGAAAAAATTTTCTTTAAATTTAGGAGCCAGACTTACTTTGTAACCTGAAGGTAGATTGGTTACATTACATTTTGGCCTGTTTTTCCATACCTAGTTTAATCTGTCTGATACAAGAGATCTATAGTAGGAGCCCTGAGATAGTGGATAGTTTGCTTAGAAGGAAATTGATTTCTCTCTGCTGAGCTAAGGAGGAGAGAACTGATAATTCCTGTAGATTTGGACACATTTTAGTAACAGTGATGTGATATAGATTAAGGGTTGGTGATATGGCACAGAGGGTGAAGACACTTGCCACCAAGCCTGGTGACTGCTTTGATACTTCAGACCCACGAAAGGAGAAAGCCAATGTCTCCACATTTAAACTTTCAGCATTAAAACTTGAAAATCGGGTTTTATGACTAATTGAGGCTATGTTGCAGGTAAGGAATATTCCAGATTTAGATTTTAAACTGTATATTAGAGAAGCCAGAGAGCCAGGTGCTGGCAGCAGGTGCAAGGGGGATCGCTGAGTTCGAGGCCAGCAAGTTCCAGAACAGCGAGGACTACACGGAGAAACACTGTCTGAAAAAAAAAAATCAGAGAGAGAGAGGAGAAGCAAGGGGAAGATGGTGATGCCCACAAGTCCCTTATCTGCCTAGCTTGACTAGGGCTTAGTAAGGAAAGATAGACTTTTCTATGTATTACCTGGTTTTATGTTCGCAGCAAAGGTTCCATTGTCAGTGGAACAAGGAAAACTCTTGTCATTTGTAATGGGAATCATAAAGCTGTACAGAGGCAATTGCCCCAGAGATTTGAAGCTGGAACCCTTACTCTTCACTGTGCAATTGTATAAGGCAAGGAGAGAGAGCCAGGCGGAGGTGGGGCACTGAGTTGAAACACATGCCTTCAATCCCAGAACTTGAGAGGAGGAGGTAGATGGATCTGTGCTTTGGAGGCCAGCTGGGCCTACACAGAAAAACCCAAGATAGATCAATCAATCATTGGTTCGGTCAGTCAATCAGTCAAGGAGAGAGAGAGATGACTCTTGGCCACCGTTGGAATATGGTCCAGACTGATTTCAGTTATGAGAACACGAGCCTTTGAGATGCCATTGACGTGAGCAGCAGGCAGTTATAGAAGTGGGTAGATCCAAAGGTGTTGGCACACTGCTAGCTAGTAATCAAGTGTAAAAGTATCAGCTGTGGGGTTAGGAGGCGAAGAGTTAATTCTTAGAGCCGCAAAAGAGAGAGACGGAGGGAGAAGGAAGGGATTGTTTCATATACACCACTATAAACAAGTGTGTCCAACCTGCAAGACTTCAGCTAGAGGTGTGAGGAAGGATTAGCTTAGTGGTAGCGCTTGCCCAGCAAGGCCAAGACTGTTCTTTCCTCAGAACTGCATAAGGTAGGTCGGTGTGTGTGGGAGGGGTAGGGCGAGAGACCGAGAGGGGTAAATTGGAGTTGATAAGTTTAGAAGTTAGTTTTTCCTTAAAATAAACAACAGGTCGCAAAGAGCTGCTGACACTGGCTAACGGGGAAAATATGAAATTTCATAACAGTACTCTGAGAGGTGGCACCAGATCCCATCACTTCCTGGGTCACCGGGTTCTATTACTGGGTCTCCAGCTGCGGAGCCCACCCTGCATGCGGTTGCTTGTCCATGTTCAGAGACAGGGACATAGTACCCAGAGAAACGGGAAGCGAGCTGACCTAAGTTGACCAAAACTGGAGAGAAGTTTCCGTCTGCTGACCTTGCCTGCAGCACTGACGAAACTGATCGGAAAGGTGCAATACACTTATGTAGATCTTTGTCCCAGGGGGTGGATGTATTCCGGTGTCCATGACTCCTGCAGCCAGCCTGTTTTCATTCCGAGCATTCGGTTTCCTGGAGGAACCATGATTCCTGGGGAGATCCATTACATAATTTTAGTGTTTTTATTTTAATGTATTTAGGAAGGTGAGAATATTAGAAGAGAAATTTTTGTCTTGTTTGGGACTACGTGGAAAACCTAGCTGGGCAGCATTTTTGATAGGTCCCTTTGCTAAGGGTATAAAATTAAGTTGGAAAGTTTCTTTCAGACCTATCCAGAGCCACACCAACTGTAGTTAGTACAGCAATTAGTGCAGTGCTAATGTGCTTTTGCTTTATTTGGGATGTAAGAAGTGATGTAAGAAATGATGGTATTGAACCTCCTTTTGAAATTCATACCTTGTGCAAAATGGTATGTCGGACTTTAATCTTGACATTTCAGGCTGTATTTATCACATGTACCCAGAAATTGTAAATGAAGTGAAAAAACAAAAGAATGGCGTTTTTCTTTTTACCTTCAGTGATCTCTTGGGCGGTCCTTGAGCTCAGATACCTGCTGTTACCATCCTTTTCCTCTGTTAATTGTGTGGTGGGTTCATAGTGCAGGATTGCATCCAAATCATGGAAAACTTCATAGTATAGAGCTGTCTCCTGAGTTGTGGGCATGCTTAGCTGTCCTGTGTTTATGCTTGAGAGTTTTATACTTTTTGAGATGCTGCATACTAGTGACTGCAGCCTTTTGTCAATATAGATAAATATTCCTTTATTTCTGGGGGGTTCCATAAAGTTGTTTTCATGTATTTCTTTTTGCCTAGACATTTAGTAACACTTTAAACTCCTCAGTCCAGTGCTTTCCCGCTCCACGCTCCATGTTGAGAATGACCTGGAAATGATTCGCTATTTCTAGCTAACATTTTGTTTCCTAGGAAACCAAAGGGCTGGTTGTCAATAAGCTCCTGAGAGCATGAAAGGATGTAGTTTAACTGGTTCAAGCTGCCCAAGGAAGTAACTTGAGAAGCTGCCAAATAAGTGGGCTTGCTGGTTAAAGAACCCTGGACCTAGGTGGTTGCTAATCTTACTATTTGGACTTTAGGGGAAAATTATCCTTGGGGCAAAGGGAATGAAAACTATTTTTGATGTATTTCTTTTCTTATATAATTTTTGGCTTCACTAAAAGTGTTGTGTTTTTTTTGTTTTGTTTTTTAATTACCTAAATGGTTGGCAGTGAGTCTTTTTTTTTAATGTTTATAGTTAATATTATTAGCTATACATTTAAAAAGCATTACATTTTGTGCTGAAGTGATAGCTTATTGGTTAAGGGCTCTTGTTGCAAGGGAAGGGTTCTTCTGTTCCCAGCATCACATTGCAGCTCATAAATGCCTGTAATTCCAGTTCCAGGGGGTCTGACACCTTCTTCTGGCCTCTGTAGGGACACCAGGCATCCATGGTACACATACATACATACATACATACATACATACATACATACATACATACATACATGCATGCATGCAGGCAAAACATCCATACACAGAAAATAAAAATAAATCAAATTACATTTTGACTGAGATTTATACCTAATACTGACTTAAAGACCATTGTTTCATGTTGGGGCGGTGGTGTACATCTTTAATCCACTCTCTGAGTTAGAGGCCATCCTGATATACATGACAAGCTCCACAACAACCAGGGCTATATAGAGAGATCCTATTGCCAAACAATAGGGTGGGGATGTTTGTTGGAGAAAGTTTGGAAAGTGAAAAGCAAAAGACAAAAACTTGAGTTGGTTGCGCCAATGAGCGCCTGTAATCCCAGCTGATGAGCAGCTGTAATTCCTGCACATTGGAGGTGTGCTGCTGTGTGCTGACACCTGTAATCCCGTGAAGCTGGCTGATTTAACAGGTGATCCATTTATTTCTTCACAGGGGTCAGGAGAGTGCTGGCATCGTGACCAGTGATGGGAGTTCAGTGCCTGCATTCAAGGTGCATAAGGTAAGTTTGAGCATTAAAAACACTAATGATATTAGAGCTGATGTTGCCAGCTGGTCATTATTGTCTGGGGTGGGGGCCAGGCACACTAGTGCCTATCTTTAATGCCAAGACTCAGGATGCAGAAGCAGGTGGATCTCTTTGAGTTTGAGGCTAGTTTATTCTACATAGTGAGTTTCAGGCCAGACTGAGTTACACAGTATGGTTCTGTTTTCTAAATAAATAAATAAGTGAGTAAATAAATGAGTTAGTGTGGGGATATGAATAAAATTGCAACTAGAAGCATTTGGATTAGGCTACTTCCAACTTTGTGTCGCACATTTGTCAAATTAGGATGTGTTTCTTTCCCAGTGATCTTTTGCTAGACCGGCTCATTCAAGTCAGCGGGTCATCTATTTAAGTATTTTAAGGATTTCTTTTTTTTTTTTTTTATGGTGATTTCAGTTAATATTTGACAGATTTCATTGCCTAGTAACAAAATCTTATTGTTAACTATCTGTCCTTATATTTCCTAATTAAGAGCTATCATAAGATAGAAGTGTCTCAATGCCGTGGCGATCCTAAACACTAAATTAAAATGAATTCAATGTGACAATACAGAGTGTGGTTTAAAAAGTAAATTCATTCAATTTATGGCACACAGAGAAGAGTGTGAAATACCTGTCTGGTTTGGATTGCCTGGGCATAGTCCTGTTACTAGCACTGCTGGTTCTTTTCCTAACGTCCACTTTTACTTTGCCTTCTCAAGGGAATGGGTCTTGTAAATCATGTTTTTACTGAAGACAATTTGAAGAAATTATATGTCTCAAATCTTGGAATTGGACATACGAGATATGCCACGACGGGAAAGTGTGAGCTGGAAAATTGCCAGCCGTTTGTGGTTGAAACTCTTCATGGGAAAATAGCCGTGGCACACAACGGTGAACTGGTAAACGCAGCTCGCCTAAGGAAAAAGGTGAGTTGTTTTTACGGCTCATTGGGTGTTATGATAGTTAACACCCAAGACTGCCGATCTCGACAAAGGGCATCTTCTAAGTATTGCCACTTGCTACCTAGGTTCAAGAAGCCATTGCATCAGAATCGCCCGGCATGCTTGCGCTAAATGTAGATTCTTGTACTCCCCAGGAAGCAATGCCATTTTAGTGCTGTGGTTTGGAATGTTGATTTATGGTTGATGTGAGCAGCATAAGGAATTACTGTAAGCATCCCCTTTTAGCTTTGTCCTATGTTCAAAGTTTGTGAGAGAGGAAAACCAAGCCATTGTTCCCTGTGTCCAAACTCTCAGCAAAGCTTATTGCTATGACCAAATGTGGGGTTTTCTTAAACAAGTACTTGGTGGCCTATAGTTCCTGGTCCCCGTACATTAAAAGCTCATCCTCACGAGACTATTGCCCAGTTCAGTTACCTTCTCCAAGTCTAGGCCCTGAGCACTTAGGGCCTACAAGCTGTAAACAGAATTCCCACATCCCCTCCTTGATTTCATTTGGTAAAGAAGTGGCCCATGGAGCTCAGGAAAGTGCTTAATTTATGCATATTGCTTTATTTTGAGAGAAGGATACAGAACAGATGAAGAGACGGGGATAGCAGGATTAGGAGGCAGGGGCCTTGGTGCCTTCTGGAACCCACTCGCCAGACACCAGACAACTCTGTTTGTACTCAGCCAACCAGAAGCTTCATGGGCCCAATCCTTTTAGCTTTTGTAGATTGGCCTTGGCGTCAACCTGACCTTCGACATCTGTTTCCTCCTTGGAAGTCTGGTCTAAGACTGAATGTGGCTCTCTAATCACGTCATTGGTTTCCATGGTAGCTACCCTCTATGCTGAAGTTGTCAAGGAACATCTAACCGCCAGACATGTCATTATATCATTATATCATTATTGTACAAAATACATTTACTTTAGTGGTCAGGCAGTTTGGGATTGCGTGCTAGGAAAGATTAGGCTGGAATCAATGGGCATTTGGCTTTTTGGCTCTCCATATCTCTCAAGTGTAGATAAAAGATATTTGCAGCTGGGCGGTGGTGGCGCACGCCTTTAATCCCAGCACTCGGGAGGCAGAGACAGGCGGATCTCTGTGAGTTCAAGGCCAGGCTGGACCGACAGCCTCCAAAACAATACAGAGAAACCCTGTCTCGTAAAACCAAAAAAAAAAAAAAAAAATATTTGCAGTAGAAAGTAGAAAATGCCTATTCTGAACATGTGTAATCTTCTTCCTTGTTAGTCCCCAAATAACCTGACAGTAGTTTACATTGTGTTTGTTACTGTAAGAACAGAAAGAGAATTTTAAGTGACTTTTGTGTGTTTATGATTCTGGGGGTCGAACCCAAGATCATATGTGTTCTGGGCAAGTACTGTGTCACTGAGCTATGTCCTCGGCCCCACACCAGTGTTTTTAAGGAAGCTAAACATCTGCTATTCTTTATGGGTATCAAGGGTGGTGATGTATTTCTTTTCTTGTGACCAAATCTTATGTAGCCCAGAACAGATGTAACTCTAGCTAACCTGGAACTCCTCCTGTCTCCATCTTCCAAGTGCTGAGATTACAGGGTTTTCCCCATCTGAACAATATGAAAACTCAAGAAGAAATTGGAGTATAGACTCAGACAGAATGCTTAGGTTACAGGTCTCTCAGATTCTGTAGTGTTTGCATGTTATGAGGTGCAACCAAGTCAGCATGAAGCTTGCATTTCATGGTACAAATTAAACATATAATCTTGTTCGATTTTGTTCTTGTTTAAGTTGAGGGTTCCTCTGCTCTATTCACATAGGAGTAAGTCATCAAGATACAGAGTGCAGCTCCCTTAGTGTTAACAGTTTGGAGCCTATGGTATCATGGCCCTCTGCTGTCAGCGTTCCCACTCTGGGCTTTACGTGCCAGTGACCCAGCATCTAGTGTTACAGCGCTGAGCTCAGGGCATTGGGTGGCCAGAGCTAGTGACTTTGGCAGCACTTTGGAACCCTTCCAGCAGTCAGTCTTCCAGCTCTTCCCAGCTTTCGCTGTCCGCAGCTCTCTGCTGCCTCTCTCCCCTTGCGGTACTTTGTGTGTGTACGTGTGTGTGTGTGTGTGTGCGCGCGCGCGCGCGCTGGTCTGAGTGTATGTTGTGTATCATGTACATACGTGATGGTCCCTCTGGAGACCAGGAGTATTCATCAGGTGCCTAGGGTGCTGGAGTTTTAGGCGAGCCATCTTTTCAGCCCTTTCCCACAGTTCTTTATATATGATTCTCCGAAGTCTTTGTGTAGCCTGTGGCCCTGACCACCCCTTAGCTCCTTAGTCTTCTAGCTGTAACTGGGTGTCCCTGGGATGAGGAACCCAAGGAACCACTTGTTCCTTGCGTAACCCCCACTCAGCCTCTTGGACCCATAATGAAAGGCCCTAAGTAGGCAGCAAAACTAATCAAATGAGCTAACTAATCACATTTGTGGCTGTGCTGCAGCATGGAGGCAGTGGACAGGAAGGAAGTGTTCCAGACAGATGTCCAGGGCTGAGAGGAGCCTTGCTTCTGTATGTGGACTAGCTGACTTGGTTCAGAGAGTACTGCCCCTGTAGGACAAAAGGCAACTGTGAGTAGGTCTGGAGGTTATCTGGATGGCTGGGGGTGTGGCCTGCAGGCTGGATTGGGTAAGGGTTATCTGAAGCTGTCATGGCCACAGTAACTTTTAAGGGTTCTTGGCAATTGGGATGCGCCCTGCTCCCGCACTCAACTGAGTCTCTCTGCAGTTGTCCTGACCCATTTATTTGGCACCTCTCAGGATTTCCTTGAAAATGGTAAAAGCTGAAGTTGTGGCTGTTACCTTTCCCAGGAAACACCAGGCACTGCATTTCAGGTGACACACCAGTGTTGCTCACAGTCCTGCCATACCTGGGGGCCACCAAGATAACCATAGCAGCTCTGTAGGGGTTCTGGCTTCTGTTTCTGCTGTCCTCCAGCAAATACAGGGTAGCTTAGGTCACTGCTGCGCTGGCCAGTCTCAGGAAGGGCTGACAGTTGTCAGTTTTGAGGCTGTGTGTCCAGTTCCTGATAGCTTTCTTTATCTAAAATAGATAATTGGAGCCAGGCGGTGGTGGCACATGCCTTTAATCCCAGCACTTGGGAGGCAGAGGCAGCCTGGTCTACCGAGCATGTTCCAGGACAAGCTCCAAAACAATACAGAGAAACCCTGTCTCGAAAAACCAAAAAAAAGAAAAGAAAGAAAGAAATAGATAATTGAAAGTAATTACAATGAAGTCTGTTAGTGTGTAACAGGCAGGTAGGCAGACTCAGTGAGGGCTGGGAATTTGTGACCTTGGTTTTACTTTTTTTTTAAGATTTGTTTGAAATGTATGTAGTGTCTGCTTGCATATATATCTGCTTGCCAGCAGAGTGTGTCATGTCTCATTATAGATGGTTGTGAGCCACCATGTGGTTGCTAGGAGCTGGGAATTGAACTCAGGAGATGTGGAAGAGCAGCCAGTACTCTTAACCTCTGAGCCATCTCTCCAGCCCCAAGAATTCAATTCTGAACAATATGTAGCTCATTGTTTCCAGACCTAGCCCATTATCCAGGTATTAGACTTAACTTTACACATGTAGCTGTCTATTGAAAATGCTTTTTAGTGTCCACCTAAATTATTCTTCACATATTTATGGTGCATCCTCTTGGTCAGTCCTGTTCAGAACTTCCTGATGATAAAGTACACTCAACCAATGTCTATTAGCTATCTCCTACATTATGTCATTTCAAATGTTGGTTCCTGTCCTTTGACAACGGTTAGAAGTACAGATGCTCATTTCTGCTACCAATACACTTGGGTTGAGAGTCACTGGTGCTGTTTGCTGCTCTTCAGGAAGGAGTATGGCCTATTTATTGGGATCGTGGAGGGTAGAAAGGGCCGCACACAGTTTAAGCCCTTTGCTTTTCCACTTACACTCAGAGTAAGTTTTGCTTGCTATCTGCTAAAGCACTTCCTTTCTGCAGCTTTAGGAACTTCCCATTGCGAGTATACACATACAGTTACTGGGTTGTAACTTAATATCTGTAGAATACCTGGTTTCTATTAATTGCTGTGTGCTGTTGGACAAGACAGCAATTAATAGTGTGGTCTAATGATGAAACTTGTCTCTCCCGTAGCTTCTGCGCCACGGCATTGGACTATCCACATCCTCCGATAGTGAAATGATTACCCAGTTACTTGCCTATACCCCTCCTCAGGAACGAGACGATACTCCAGACTGGGTAGCAAGGTAATTGTGTAACTAGGCTATGGCCGCAGCTATGGCTGTGAGAGCTTTACTTGTCCAGCGTGTTTATAGCTAGAGTGATTGATTCTGCTTCTTGTCATTCCAGAATTAAGAACTTAATGAAGGAAGCGCCCACAGCGTACTCCCTGCTTATAATGCACAGGGACGTCATTTATGCAGTGCGGGATCCGTATGGAAATCGTCCTCTGTGCATTGGTCGTCTTATTCCAGTTTCTGATATAAATCACAAAGGTAATGAGCTTCCGTGGGCATTTGAGTTTCATAATGTTTTTCAAAACCGTTGTTTCTCTTGGCGAGCCTTCTTCCCTCTTCTCCCCCTTCTCTTTTTTTGAGCTGCCAAATCCGTGGCTGCAGGAAGCCTGTGCATAGGAAGAGGGGGAGGAAGGAAAACAGTGTCTTTATTTACTTCTTAAGGTGATGTGAGTGTGTACATACTGTGTATGTGGCTGTGTGCTCCTCTGCTGTTTGTGGAGGCAGGAGGCAGGTATCTGGTGACACCCTCTCACTCTCAACCTGCTCCTGCGAAGCAGGGTCTTTCCTTGACCTTGGAGATTCCTGGAAGTTTCCGGTATGTGCAGGCAGCCAGGCTTACTATGTGGGTGCTGGGATTTGAACTCTGGTCCTCAGGATTTCACAGCAAGCCCTCTAGCCATAGCTGTCTGTTGGTGTTTTTGAAAGTGTGTGTATGGGGTGGAGGTGTAAACATGTATATATGTATGCAGGTGTGCTTGCTATCTAGACATGTGTTGAGTAGAGGCCAGAGGTCGACTTCAATTATCGTCTTCTTTTGCTTCACTTTTTTGAGATGGGCTCTCCCTGAAACTGGAGCTCACCGTTTTCAGCTAGGGTGGCTGGCCAGTGAGGTCTGTGGGTCTCTCCCACAGGTGGGGTTACAGGTGATTACTGGCATCTCGGCTGGGATCCAAACTCAGACCCTCTTGTTTGCATAGCAAGCACTACTCACTGAGCCGTCTCATTATCTCCTAGTCTTTATTTTTAAAGTGTATTTCTTTGGCTGTGTCTTGACTTTTCAGTGCTTTTAATATTAATCCTATTTTTTTCTGAATTGCCAATTCATATCTTTTGCCTAACCTTCTTATTTCTGCAGTTGGGTTTTTTTTTTAATGACCTATCGTCTGTCTATCTGTCTAGTTCAAACCGATAAATAATGCTAGAAGGAATTTTGGATTATTTATTGTCTTATATGGAGCCATTCCTTTTAATGTGATAATAATAGCAGCTTTTATCTATTTGATGTTTAATTATTCTCATGAAATGGCCTCTTAGAATTCCTTTACACCCTTGTGTTTGAATGCACATGAATGACAGTGGCATCCAGAGGTAGAGGGTCTCAGACATAGGAGTTTGTTCTCCTCTGCCGCATGGCTCCCAGGGATGGAACTCAAGTTGTGAGACTTGACAAAATCACCATTGTCCAGTGAACCATCTAACTGGCCTGAAAGCCTCTTTAAAAAAATTTCCTTGTGGGGACTGAGGATGTAACTGATTAATGCAGTGTTTGCCCGGGAGGGCAAGACTCTTGACTTCTATCCCCGGGACTCCTTACAAAACACAAACACAAAACAAAGAATTTCCTAAACCCATTCACTAAAATGATTGTCTTGTGATTTATAGAGAAAAAGTCTTCAGAAACTGAAGGTTGGGTGGTATCTTCTGAATCTTGCAGCTTTTTATCTATTGGTGCAAGGTAAGTTGTATCCTGTTTTATTTTTTCTACATTTATGAGAAAATTTCTCTGCCAAGTTTGATACATGCCTGTAGTCCTAGCTTCCCATACGCCTGCGGCAGGTTGGTTATAAGAGGAACCTGAGTTCTACATACTGACACCTGACTCTCACCCTAACCCCAAAAAAACAAACAAAACAGGGGAAAAGGGAAGACGGAGAGGAAAGAAGAACTTTTTCATTCAGGCATGGTGACATCCACCTAATAAGTCCAGAATTGGCAAATGGGGAGGTTGAAGAGGGAGCTTCATTTGAACCTTGAGCTCTGAAGTTCAGTACCCGCTTGAGCAAATGTGTATCCAAAAAATAAGAGGTAAAGAAATGAGAGTGTGTGGCCAGGTGGTGACAGCACTCACCTTTAATCCCAGCACTGGGGAGGCAGAGGCAGGCAGGCCTCTCTGAGTTCAAGCCCAGTCTGCTTTGAGTAAGTTCCAGGACAGCCAAGGCTTTACAGAGAACCCTGTCTTGAAACACCCCATCCCGACACCTTGCCAAAAAAAAAAAAAAATGAGTTTGGGGATTATCTTTTTGTTTGTTTTTCATGGCAGGGTTTCTCTCTGAAGCTTTGGAGTGAGTCCTGGAACTCACTCTATAGACCAGGCTGGCCTTAGACTCACAGAGATCCACCTGCCTCTGCCACCCGAGTGCTGGGATTAAAGGCATGAGCCGCCGCCGCCGCCCAGCTGGGGATTATCATTTTTTAAAGGAAGTGAAAGATATGTTTTCTATTTCCATGACCAATGTCTTTGCTATAAGGAGGCATTTGCAAATAGTGTCCGTACCAATTGTGCTGACTTTAATGGCCCAGTACTACTTTCTTTTTCTGAAAATATTGTCTTTCAAAATACCCCAAGTCTCCCTTGGTTTTATTTTAGTATGCATGTGTTTGTTTTTGATTCCAGGTCTCTTACTAACCCAGGTCACCATGGAGCCTGTGGCAATTCTCCTTTGCCTCCAGAGCGCTGGGAATGCAGGTTGAGACATAATGCCCAGCTCACACAATTTAGTTTCTTTTATAATTACATGTATTTATTTGGGTGGGAAGGGACACATGGCGGTCAGGAGATAACATGCAGGAGCCGGTGCTCTTGTCCCAGCTTGTGGGTCCTAGAGATTGGGTCTTTAGGTTTAGCAGCAAGCATCTCTACCCACTGAGCCACCTCACTGGCCAAAGACTGACTTTACAAAGTAGGGACTTGGGCTGGGGAGAAGGCTCGGTCGGTAAAGTGCCTGCTGCTCGAGCATGCAGACCTGAGTTTGGATCCCAACATGTAAGTAAAGGCTGCTTGCAATATAATCCCAGCATCTGAGGAGCAGTCTGGGGAGTGGTTTCTTGTTTGTTTGTTTGACATTTATTTTGTGTTGTGAAGGGGTGTGTGTGTCGTAGGATGCCTGTGGAGAGGACAGCTTGTGAGAGTCAGTTCTTTCCTTCTATCATCTGGGCTCCAGCAATCGAACTCAGCTCCTTAGACTTGGAAGCAAGTGTCACAAGTGTCCTTAACCTCCTGACCAGCCCACCAGCTCTTTAAATCATGCTATTGAGAATTAACTAAACCAAGCGTGGTGGTGCACAGTTTTATTCCCAGCTGTTGTGAGGCAGAGGCAGGCAGATTGCTTTGAGTCCAATAAAGGCCAGCCTGGTCTATCTACAAAGTGAGTTCCAGGACAGTCAGGGCTGTCAGAGAAACCCTGTCTCCAAAAAAACAAAATAACAAAAACAAACAAAAAAAGAACAAAAAGAATTAATTAAAATAATCCCTTTACTCCTTAAGCACACACAGTAATTTTCAGAGTGAAGTACTGATATAGATTATAGTGTATACACTGTCAAGATTTGACAGTGGGCACATGAATGAGAGCACTTACTGGCCTTTTTATTTTTTATGAAATTAATAAAATGTAAGTTCCTGCTGCTCTTACAATGTAACAGTTATAGAGTCTTTTCTTTTGCCTTTAAAAATTAGCATATGCTCATGATAGCTTTCACGAATGTCTTCTATTTGTTTTTTTGTTGTTTGTTCTAAGATATTCCCATGAAGTCAAGCCTGGAGAAATTGTAGAAATATCCAGACATGGTGTCAGAACACTTGATACGATTCCAAGGTCTGAAGGAGACCCAGTGGCTTTTTGTATCTTCGAATATGTTTATTTTGCAAGACCAGATAGTATATTTGAAGGTAAGTACATTTCTTTTCTTCAGCTATTTGCATAAATTTCGTTCATCTCAATGAAGAGAAATATGGCAGTTCTTGGCCCAAGGGCTTTTATAGCTCTCGGGAGACATGCAGCTGTGAGCATGTCACTGAGCCACATACAAATCATAATTGCCCTTCTTTTCAACTCTTAGATGCTGTTTTCATTTTCAAATGCATATTTAGGTGAAATTTTATAAGTATAACATAATTGAATCTCTTGGTTTATGTTTTTCTACCTTACTGTTTCTGTATGCATTACTTTTCTTTTTTTGTTCAGTTTATAGAATCCTAGTACCACTTGGTCCTGCCTCAACTAGATGATGGGACAGACTTAGACTTCTTAGAGGAGGCTTTACCCTCTCCATGGGGCAGATGCGGGGGGTAGTAGGGCAAGCGGGAGAAGAGGAGGGAGGGGAAACGGATTGGAATGTAAAAAATAAACTAATAAAAGGAAAAAAATTCTAGCACCAGCTGTTTAGAATTACAGTATTGTTCTCTTCTGAACATTCCAGACCAAATGGTTTACACCGTAAGATACCGCTGTGGCCAGCAACTGGCCATTGAAGCACCTGTAGAGGCGGACTTGGTTAGCACCGTTCCAGAGTCAGCTACGCCTGCTGCTCTTGGGTATGCGGCTAAGGTATTTACTTTTCATTATTCTTTGGTGTGTTGGTCTTCTGGCAGAGAAAGAAATATAGACTATGAAGGGGAAATCCACCAACTTACTGTAAGAAGGAAAGGTTGGGGTCTAATGTTGATTCCTATGCAAGAATTATTAGTCATTTCCTTCAGCAAAAAGTGGACTGAGAGATGACTTGGTGGGTAAGGCTCTTGCTCCCAAGGCTGATCACATGATTTTGATTCCTAGGACCTACACGGTGGAAGGAGAGAACTGACTCAAGTGAATTGTCTCTTGACCGCCATAGATGTTCAGTGGTGTGCATATCCCCATAAATGTCCATGCACACACATGCAGATTTTAATCACCCACAGATTAGAATATTGACCTTCATTTTTAATTTTTAGCAGCATACAGAGTAGTGAGTGTCACTGACATTTTCAGAAGCTTGTAGTTGTACCCTGTTCTTACTCATGCCCTGCCTGCTGCCCCTCCCCCTTTTCCTTTGCGGTCTCTGGCTTGCTCTCAGCGGTTCTCATCATTCACACATGGCTGTCACGTGCATTCCATTCCGTTACCCTTTGTCTCTCCTGGTCCTCTCCCTCTCTCTCTCTCTCTCTCTCTCTCTCTCTCTCTCTCTCTCTCTCTCTCTCTCTCTCTCTCTCTCTCTCTCTCTCTCTTTCACACACACACACACACACATACAGAGTGCACACATTCACTTGTCTAAGTTTTTTTGCTGGTGTGCCCATCTTTTTCTCACCATTTTAAACTGTTTTGTAATGCCTTTGTGGGTTTCCACAGTACTTCTTCCTTTCTTTCTGACTCTTCTTCGTGGAGTTACCCAGAGGAACTTTTCTCTATCTCAGAACTTGGTGTAGTCGAGCATCCTTACAGCTTCTAAGTGAAGTAATGCGCATGTATTTATAGAGATGGGTACCTTGAGGAATGGATGAATGCCCTAAGAGTCATCTTCGTGGCCCAATGTTGCTCTAACTGTACACTGATTTCTCCTCCACCAGTGTGGACTGCCCTATGTGGAGGTGCTGTGTAAAAACCGGTATGTGGGAAGAACCTTTATTCAGCCAAACATGAGGCTAAGACAACTTGGTGTTGCAAAAAAATTTGGTGTGTTGTCTGACAACTTTAAAGGCAAAAGGATTGTTCTCATAGATGATTCAATTGTGAGAGGCAATACTATCTCACCCATCATAAAACTCCTCAAAGAGTCCGGGGCAAAAGAGGTAAGTCATGTTAAAACATATGCTGTAGCACCAGTAATTAACCTTATGATACTGTCATAAAAGTTAGTGTGATTCAGCTTTGCATATCAGATTGTTTTGTGATAGCTGGGCAACAATGCAGAGAAGTCTTTTTGTTTGTTTGTTTTGTTGTTGGGGGGGTGGAGACTGGGCTTCTCCATGGCTTTGGAGGCTGTCCTGGAACTAACTGTTGTTGACCAGGCTGGTCTCTGAACTCACAGAGATCAGTACGGAGGAGTCTTATACTATAGGAAGTTTAATCTTTAATATACTAGAAAGAAAGCTAAAACATACAAGAAACATCACTTTTTTACAGCAATTTTTAAAATTAAGGAAAAAAAATAAAAAAATCAAGAGTACTGGTTGCTTTCTCTATTTGAAGATACAGAACCAATATTAATACAGAAAACTTAACCATTAAATCAGTTTTGTGTCACTTCATCATCTAAAACAGTGAACTTCTAAAAAATTGCTAAGCATGTATCTATTTGTGCTGTGTTAAATGCTTGGATGCATGTTATAGGCATACCTTGTTTTCATGTACTTCACTGTATTGAACATTATATTACAGTTTTTACAAATTGAAGGTTATTAAAATTGTTTTGAGTCATTGTGAACTTTGCCTTTTAAAACTGATGCCAAACTTAGTCAAGAAACTTGTTTGTTCCCACCATCTATCCCCCTATTCCCTGTTCTTTGGACTCTCTATACTTCCTAAAACACAGCATTGAAACTGGCTAGTAAATAAATTACAGTGGCCTTGAAGAGCTTGAATGAAAATTTGAAAAACTTCTCACTTTAGTTCAAACTTCAGAATGATTTATCACGTTAGGGGTAGAGACAGGATTATCAGCAGCCACAGCTGGCCTTGAAGTCTTGTCCTATCTTAAAAGAACAACAAGAAAAAAGCTCAGATAAACATTTTTTTCACAACATATTTTTATATTAATGTTATAGTTCCTTTAGATTTCTGTGTCTTCGGGTTTCTATTGCTGTGATGAAACCCATGACCAAAAGGCACATTTGACTTATCCCTCCACGTTCATCACTGAAGGAAGTCAGGACAGTAACTCAAACAGGACAGAAACCTGGAGGCAGAAGCTGATGCAGAGGCCATGAGGGTGCTGCTTTCTGGATTGCTCAGCGTGCTTTCTTATAAAACCTAGGACTACATGCCCTGGAATGGCATCATCTACATGCCCTGGAATGGCTGGTTCTTCCCCCATCAGTCACTAATTGAGAGAATGCCTTAAAGGCCTGCCTCCAACTAGAACCATGCAGGCATTTTCTTAATTGAGGTGCCCTCCTCTCAGATGACTTGAAGTTGACATAAAACTATTCGGCACATCTTGTTACTGCACATTTAACTGACTAAAAATAATAGAAGAATAACTTGTGCATTCTTTGATTTATTTAGATTTCAAAATTTATTCTAACTTTAAACATTTCAGTCCTTAAAACTACAGAAGCATGCTGATTTCTACAGAGCTAGTTCCAGGGCAGCTAAGGCTGTTACACAGAGAAACCCTGTCTCGGAAAACAATACAAAACAAAAGTTGAGTGAATTTGAAAAGTGGGATAGAAAGAAATAACGATGGTCTATATTTAGAACATTTTAAGAATTATTGGGGTTTTCCAGCTTTTTTATGATGGATTATGGTTCTAATGGTCTCACTGTTGGGTTCTATGAAAACTGTACAGTAGGAATAAATAAAGTGACATGCTAGTGTGATATGAAGTATGTCTTGGCCACTTAATTCTGTGCGAAGATTGCATAAGACAGACAGATTGTTCTATCTAAGATTAAAAAGAAAATGTGGGTACGTACTGGTTATAACCTAGTAGGGTTATGTCTTTTTAATATGGTAAAATTAAAGATCAGCAAAGGGGCTGGAGAGATGGCTCAGAGGTTAAGAACACAGACTACTCTTCCAGAAGTCCTGAGATCAACCACATGATGGCTCACAACCATCTGTAATCAGATATGGTGCCCTCTTCTGGCGTGTAGGCATACATGCAGGCAGAATGTTGTAAACATAATAAATAAATAAATCTTAAAAATAAGATCAGCAAAGCACCATTTAGGTATTAAAACAACACAAACTGGCCAGGAATGTACAGTCATTAAATAGTAAGTAACAGATACAGAGAATGAAAATTCTTCATTAAGAAAAAATGGCTCAGTGGTTAAGAGCACTGGTTGCCTTACATAGGCCCCAGCCTTGATTCCCAGCACCCACATGGTGATTCACAACCATTCCTAACTCCAATTCCAGGGAGATCTCATACCGTCTTCTGACCTCAGCATGGAGCATGTACATGGTGCTCAGACATACGTGCAGGCAAAACACTCACAGTATAGAATGAAGAGATCTAAATGAAAAAATTACCTATTCAATGAAATGATACATGGTTTGCCTTGTTGCTCATGTTGTTAATTGAGTGTTCAGTAAGACAGTTTTATCAGGGGGAATATAAACTTAATTTTACTGTGAAAATATTAATTTTACTATGATGATTTCTTTCTAAGGTGCACATTCGAGTCGCTTCACCACCAATAAAATATCCTTGCTTCATGGGAATAAATATACCCACAAAAGAAGAGCTGATAGCCAATAAGCCAGAATTTGAACGTCTTGCAGAATACCTTGGTAGGTATTACGATTTCTGTAGATTTTAACTGTTGGTTTGACTTTTAAGTTTCAAGTGTACTGTTGTATAAAGCAGCAAATAGTTGCAAGATAAATTTGAGTGCTGGGAGATGACTCAGCATTATTGTTCTTGTAAGACACGTTTTGGGGATCAGAGTTGAGTTCATAAATGCTGGGTAGGTATTATACCTCTGTAATTCCAGGTTCGGCATGTGGAGATAGTATACCCAGAATAAGTTGACTAGCTAGACTAACAGAATCATGACTCTGAGACCCCTAACCATGGGCCTCTACAGACACATGTACACAGGTGTTGGGAGAGAAATCATTCACAATAACACCAAAAGCTATAAGTCTTCTAGAAATAATTTAAACATAAAGATTTCAATTCCTGCTTTGTGTGGTGGTACATGCCTTTATAACATTGAAGTCAGGGGTAGCCAGACCTCGGAGTTCAAGGTCAGCCTGATTTACAGGGCCACAGAGTGAGACTTTTTTTCTTAAAGTCTGTAACATAAAGGCTGCACCCACTCAAGGTGCTTGTGATTTGAGTTCCCCAAAGGGACTGTGGCTTAGTTCAGGCCTCAGAAACACCAGAATACATTAACCTAAAAATGGAAAATTGGAAAAGGTGTTCACATCAACAAAATTAATTAATGCAGAACTTCATGATAGAGTATGTCAGTGCCACAAAGAAGTTCTTGGATGGTGTAAAAAATACAGCAAATACAAACTACTGTTAAAGTCTGAGAAGTATGTGAACTTCCACAAATGACAGTTATACATAATGTGTAAGCCATGTGAATGAAATTGACATTTGTACAAAATGTAGAAACAGAAACTTCAGCAAATACTGAAAATCAAGGTTCTAACCATAGAGGAAGCTGCAAAAGGAAAGAGGACAGTGATGAGGATTTAGATGCTGACATTCACTCAGTGACATTGGAGACACTCAGGTGGCCTGACAGCAGAGGCGGCTGCAGGGGGCTTGCAAACTGACATCTGAATGCAGGAGTCAGAAAAGGCTGTTCAAAATAGGCAGACTGGTGCATGAGCAACAAATGTAATTTTTGAATAACAAACTTCCAGGTTTTCACAATAAAACTCAGTTGAATATACAGAGTATGTATGGAAACACTTCTATGGCATGTTATATAATCTATGGAAATTGTGTAGAAAGCCTAATGTCAGACTATCCAGTGTTGAGAACTGGTGTTTGTATTAGAACTATCTCATGGAAAACTAAGATGATTAGCTCACAGCAAGTACATTTCCATTAGCCTGACCTCAGGTATGTAACTTCCTAGCAAAAGTCCCCTTATATCTTACAGAGCAAAACAGCTACTGTTAGACATACACATACAAAGTCATGTGATATTTTCCTTTAAAAATATTGGAAATATTTAGTCAGAAAAAAATGTGTGGACTATATATCATTATTAACTAGAAAGGAAAATCCAGCATTCATTCTCGGGTGGAGATACTACCCGTATCTAAAGTTCCTGTGAGATACTATCTCATAAGCATATCCTTCCCAAATTTCCATTGTTCTGAATTCCCACTCTGTTGCCATTGTTTCTACTTAAGCACAGTGTAAGTTAGCTTTGTGTGATTGTTGAAATGTAGGTCCTTATGTTTACAATCCCAGAGCCACACAAAATTAGCCAGGCAGTACAATGAACTTTTCCATGATCTTTACTTATATTTTCAATTTTAGTTTTACTGTGTTTTCTTTTAATGTGTGTGTGTGTGTGTGTGTGTGTGTGTGTGTGTGACATCTCTGCATATATGAATGCGTGTGTATATTTGCGAACTATAGAAATAAATGTGAAACCCTGAAATAAAAAAGGGTTAATCAACATTATATGTTAGGCAAACATTGAACACCATTCTAAAAAGTAAAAGTGATAGGGCACTTTTTATATTAGAGATGTAGGTCAAAGTGAGATCAGAAGGGAAAGTGTTTTTTGGGGTTTTGTTTGCTTGCCTTTGGAGACAGGGTTTCTCTGTGTAGCCCTGGCTGTCCTGGAACTCACTCTAGACTAGGCCGACCTCAAACTCACAAAATCTGCTTGTCTCTGCCACCTAAATGCTGGTATTAAAGCCATGTGCCATCACGGCCTGGCCAGAGTAGAATAATTTAACTACACACACGCATGCATCAGATTGAATCTAGGGACTCCTGCATTCTAAAGAAAGGTTTCACCCCAAGTCCTCATCTCCAGGTCTTTCCCTCTCCTTTTAAGGTTTGGATTGTCCTGGTTGGCTTGAACTTGTGATCTTCTTGCCTCTGCTTCTCAAGAAACTTGGAATATAGGTTAGAAGCCATCACATCTAGCGTCCTTTTTAGGAAGGCTAAGGGAGAATTTTTCATCCTGACTTAAATGATGCTCTCCATAGCTGTGCTGTGGTGAAGGCATGTTTTCCTGTCTAGAGAGAAAGCTCATAACACTTTCTCTTTTCTCCTATAGGAGCAAACAGTGTTATATATTTGTCAGTGGAAGGACTGGTCTCATCCGTGCAACAAGAGATAAAATTCAAGAAGCAAAAAGTGAAAAAACATGACATTACAATTCAAGAAAATGGAAATGGTCTGGAATGCTTTGAGAAGACCGGACACTGTACAGCTTGCCTCACTGGGCAGTACCCTGTGGAACTGGAATGGTAGCTGCCAGGACAGAGTTCTCCAGACTGAAAGTGATCATGAAGTGGTTTCTGTACTATCTGTTACTCAGTTGGTATAAAGTAAAGTAGATACTACCTGCTTATGTATGTATACCTGTATAAGCTTTGAGAATTTCTGAGGTTACAAAATTGCTATAATTGAACCATGATGGTTACATGTAATACAACATATAGGGATTCTTTTTATACGAGCATTGATTTTTACCTAGGAGGAGGCAAGAGGTTAGTGGTATTTCCCAGGCCCATGCTTGAAGGGTTTACAAGAGGTTAGATTAAGGATGTGTGACACACACAGGACTCTGGGCTTTACAATGTATCATGAGAAATCTGAATTCATTGTGCCCCGTAGGGTTCTAATCTGTACAGTCAAGCCTGGAGATGTGGCCTTGACCTTAGGGCCCCCCCACACACACACACACACGCACTTGTGATTCTGGGGACCAATGGAGAACTCCAAAAAAAAAAAAAAAAAGGAAAGAAAGAAAGAACTACTTGGGAAGCTGAGGCAGGGGATTCTTGAGTTCAAGGCCAAATCTGGGCTTTCTTGCCTCAAGATAACTGTATTTCTCTGCCTCGGAGGGAGCCCCCATTTACTTAATGAGACATCTGTGTATCTAGTACACAGTAGGAATGTGAATACATGCCATACTTAGGTATTTAGAACAATCATTTTACCCCTGCATTTTAACAGTGCATGGTCATTAGCATTTGCTAAATTTGTTTGCAGCTTTATTATGACCCAGGGAAATTACAGGTTTGCAGGCCTTTGCCATCTCTCTTTGGGAGGCACCAGAATGACTAAAAGATATTATCGGAAGCCTTTTTGTTTTTTACACTTGACTAGAAAATGTGAATATTGATAATTTCTAGTGTCTGACAATATAAGCTTAGCAAATAACAAAGAGCATTGGAAGTAGAAAACAAAAATTTTAATTCCAAGTAAGCCTTTATTTATAATTTGATTAGACTTGGCTGGGTGAATTGAGTGCTTGATCACTGACAGTCATGCATACTCTATACATATATACATATGATTATCTGAACCAATAGAAACTTAATATGGGCCGATTTTGTTTGATGGCTAGGGGCACAGCTACTGTTTTGGAAGTTAGATTACCTGTACCCAAATATCACCTCATAATAATGTCTTTTCTACTTTGTTTTGTTAGGTCTAGTGAGTTCTTGTTTTTATTTTTTATGACACAGATTTTGAGGACTGAGGTGATTTGCTTACTAACTCCTGTTTGTGTAATATTTTTCACATGCAAAAATAATTATTTCTATATTATTGCCAAAATTTGCTGTATAGTTTCCAAGCCCATTTAGAAATAGTATTTATTAATTGAAATTATCCGTCTGCATTTGGTATATAGTCTTGTGTTATGTAATGCCCGGTCACGATAAAATGGCAGTGATTTAAGGTCATATGCTGCAGTGGTTGAAGCGATCCTGTGACAGGCACAGGCAGATCACAGACCACAGGCAGATCACAGATCACAGGCAGACTGGCATTTTACAGCCCTGGGCCATTTCAGCAGCCTCTTATGCTAAAAGCATTACCCATGGCAGCATGGAGGGTAAGCCTCTAGGTCAGTTTTTAAATGACCTTATTTAAATTTGATGTTTTAAAAAGAAACTCAGGGAAAGTACTAAAACCAAAATCTCTAATTTGACTTTTGTGTTTCTATTTTGTTTTATTGGGCTACTTTTATAAAGGGAAATAATGTTGAGATCCTTTGATAATTGTACTATGTTTCTTAATTACTCACCGTGACCTTTTATTTCACAGGTTTCTGAATATGAATTAAATTACCTTTTTTTCCCCTAGTTTCAAGCCTTCTTTTATTTGCTTTAAATGTATATAACTAGAGTACTATATGCTGAAAAAACTATGAAAAATTTGTTTGAACACAGTTAACGTCACAAACTGATGTAAGCCTACTTTTTTGGTACCTTTCTGTGATTTTTTTTGTGACAAATATATGTAATAAATGTGTTTACATGTGTGCTTTTTAAAGATAGTGGTAATAATACATTATGTAAACAACTTGAAGACAGCAGTTTGATCCATACCTGGCACCAGCTAGTCAGGTCTTATTTCTTTGAGCCAGACATTTTAATGAGCTGTGCAAGCTTATGCCAGGTCGAAGGGCAGTGACGTCATTTAAAAATAGACTACCAAGTCAGCACGGTGTAGAGCAGCTTCTCTGGAAGCACTAGGAGCTATGGTTAGGTGTTCATAGTGTTCAAAGGGCTTTGAAAATGCAAACAGAGTAAAGGATGGATAAGCTAGTACATCCAGACAATGGATCCTATTCAGTGTTAAAAAGAAAGAAGCTGCCCACAGTGGTGGTGCACGCCTTTAATCCCTTCAGAAACAGAGGCAGGCAGATCTCGGGTTCCATAATAGCCAGAACGTTACAAAAAGAGAAACTCTGTCTCGAAAAACCAAAAAGAAGCTGAAAGCAATACAAAATTTAGATGCATATTAACATGTAAAAGAAGGCTGAAAATGTCACACGCTCAGGGATTTCAACTGATTAGTTGTTTAGCTAGACAAAGTCAGACAACAGTGAGCATCGGGTTGGCAAGGAGGGAAGGAAGAATAGGGACAGCACTGGGTTCTAAATATGGCAGCATAAGATTCTCCCACGTTTCCAGCTTGCTGACTTGGAGAGCGACAAGATTCCCCAGGGGTAAGGGAGGAAGGCCCTTTGAGATATATACACACGTTGTGTTACAGGAGAGTGATTCCCTCACTTTTTTATGGTAAGTAGGAGCAGGCTTGCTTTTTTGCCTTAGGAAGACAACCTTTCCAATATGAAATTCGACACCCCAAACAACTGTAGGGAAAGAAAAAAGACTGAATAGAGTGATCAGGGCTTGGTATTCTTGACATACCTGGCAAGAAAGTACAGGGGCACTCTGCCTATGGCAGATAGCCCTCACAAAAAATAATGCTGGGTGAATTCTCGAAAATTCAAAAAAAATTAAAAGACATATACTTCCTGAATCATGAATTAGGCATTAGAGATATGCAATTTTTAGGGGCTTAGAGGCATCACTGAAGTGTTTAGTTTGTTTCTCAAGCCTCGGAGTGAGAAGGCTTTCCCAGCTAAAAATCCAGGCGAAGAGGTGTGGAAATATTAGGGCTTGGTATGTGGAGAAGACTTAGCACATACATGGCTAAACTTAGTGAACTGTGTGGGAATGTGGAGCGTGGGGGTAGGTAGTAATGATCTGCTAGGAGAGATCAGGCTGGAGAGACAATTGTCTCAGCGTTTGAACCACACTAACCAGCAGATTGTCCCAGCTAACACTGCCAACTTTCCTAGCATATGGAGACAAAATATTTAGATAAACAGGAGCTTCCCAGCCCAGACCTTGACAGTGCCAGGAATGTACTTTTCTTGATAGCTAACTTGAGATAAATCAGGTACATTGTAGCTCAGATGGAATCACTTCTGTCCAGATAATTATATACGCCTTGTGCTTATGACTTAGGAGTCACAAAAATCACAGGCCCTTCTGTGGCTGGGACCATGGTCTGTCAGTAAGTCCACAACGAACTGTATTCTGTTCAATCCTGAGTCTGTTTTAGTTTCATGTACCTCAACCCAGAAAACTTTCAGAAAGCTTTAAAATATGAATGGATGGTCATGGATCTTTACACACTCTAGAAAAGCCTCTAACATGAGATAGCCCAAAACCAGTAGGAGGGAAAGGAGCAACTGGGAAGAAAAGGGGAAAATGCAAAGGTAGATTGTGAAATACTATTAAGATGTGTTACATTCATTTATGCTGTAGAATATTTGTTCAACGATGCAAAGATATGCGGGATAATGTTGCATTTGTAACTCTGTACAGCTGTGTTACTTTGCCTGTCTAAAATATTTGATTGGTCTAATACAGACCTGAATGGCCAAAAGTATGCAGGAAAGGGCTAGGTGGGGCTGGTTGGCAGAGAGAATAACTAGGAGAAATCTAGGCTTCAGAGAAGAGGGGGAGCAAGAAAAGGAGAAGAGAGGATGGCAGGAGCCAGCCACAGAGTAAGAAAGGCATATGGACTAGAGAGAAGGTAAAAGCCCAGAGGAAAAGGTGGACAGGATACTTTAAGTGACAAAACCTGGCTAGAAAATAAGCCAAGCTGAGGCTGGACATTCACAAGTAAGAATAAGTCTCTGGGTGGTGGGGTCCCAAAGAGCAAAGAGTAAAAAACAAATAAAACTACAGGTAGATAAGAACCCCAGCAGGCAGACAGAAGGGGAAAGGGACTGTGTATAAGTACCAAGATTGCTTCTTCATTTAGAACAGTCTAGTGAGCTTTTTTTCACTTCTGACTCACCTGCTTAGATATGCCCAAGGTCCGTTCTGAACATGCCTCAGCTTGCACGAAGCTCTGTGCCCTTGTCTCCTTTTTATTTAAGTTAGCCAGTCCAAACTAAGGAGGAGGAGGACAGTCCTGTACTACTAAAAACATTTACATGTCCAGGGAGATGGGTGAACTCAATTTTGTAATGGTGGAAGCTTCACCCCAGCCCCTCGCATCCACATACTCAGAGTCTGGAAAGTTATGGTGGGAGTTCCACCAAAGCCTCCTCCTCTCTGCAAACCCTGCTGCATCTCAAAAAGCCTGTCAAATGATGACCCCCTCCCCCAGAGATGCTCAAGACCACCTGAGAGTCACAGGGTATTTAAACTGCCCACCAGAAAACAGACTTGTGGTTTTTCCAGTCTTCCTTTTCTGTCTCCTCTCTTGAGGACCGGTAGGCCATCTGGGAGAGTTGTATCCATTAAATGTGGGCTTTTATATTTTTGGTTGTGAGCCTAGCCTTTAACAGCTGAGCCATCTCTCCAGCCCAGAACGTGGGCTTTTTCTAATTCGGTTTGATTTGGTCTGATTTGGATCGCTGCATCAGTGGAGAGGCTTATCGGGGTGTAGAAACTTTTCAAATTTTGGTCTTCAAAATCTCCTTTCCACTTATGGACAGTCTGTGTGTGAGGGAGATGTATGTACACTTTGCTTTTTAATAAAACTTGTTTGCAATGAGTGATTTAGGTCTGTCTTTTAAAGTCAGTGGAGAAAACCAACCCAACCTAAGATTCCTGGTTGATAATATTTGCATTAATAGAGAAATGGCCAGGCCTAATATAGGCCTATAATTGCAGTGCTTGGGAAGGCAGAAGGTTCTTGAACCTCTAAGTCAACACAGGCTATGCTGTAAAACCGTATCTCAAAAAAAAAAAAATCAGACATCTGAAGGATGAGGGGTTAAGGATTAACAAGTTAATTTCTTTTTGGGGGGTTTCTCAAGACATGGTTTTTCTGTAGCTTTGGAGCCTGTCCTGGAACTCGCTCTGTAGACCAGGCTGGCCTCAAACTCAAGAGATTCTCCTGCCTCTGCCTCTTGAGTACTGGGATTAAAGGTGCGTGCCACCACTGCCCAGCTAAGAGTTTCTTAAAGCATGCAAAAATGGAAAGGCTTTAGTAAAATGCATCAAAAGCCTGAACCAATAGAAAGGTACCTTTTTGGATGCTAGGAATACTTGAACGCCTCTAGGAATAAGGAATTTGAATCCACCTTTGAAATCTTGACCCAGGCAGTTGTAGTCAGCCAGAGGCTGGAACACCAGAACATCTCAGTGAACGAGAGGCTAGGAAGTGAGGTGGTTCACTGGGCAGATAAAAGATGGAGTGTAATTTCTATAGAGACACGAAGCCGAGCGTGCTGGCTAGTTCTGTGTCAGCATGACACAAGCTAGAGTGGAAGGAGGGACTCTCAGTTGAGAACATGCTTCCTTCACATTGGGCTTTATTATTATTATTATTATTATTATTAATGATTGATGTGGGAGGATCCAGTCCACTGTGGGCAGAGGCATCCCTGGGTCTGGGTTGTATAAGAAAACAGCCTGAGGGCTGGAGAAACGGTCCTGTCGTTAAGAGCACTGGCTGGTCTTCCAGAGGACCCAGGTTTAATTCTCAACACACACAGGGTGGCCAACAACTGTCTGTAACTCCAGTTCTTGATCTGACATGATCCTCTTCTGTCCTCAGGCATGCAAGTGGTGCACAGAGAAACACCCACACACATAGTAAAATAACTTAGATACCCAAAAGAGAGAAGGGAAAAGGAAGGAGAAAAAGAAAGCAGGCTAGGAAAGCCACGGGGAGTAAGCCATTAACCAGCGTTCCTCTACACTTTCTGCTTCAGGTCCTGCCCCCAGATTCTGGCCTTGCGTTCCTGTCCTGACTTCTCTTAGTGGTGGAGTGTGATGAAATAAACTATTGGTTCCCCAGGTTGCTTTTGGTTACGATGTTTTATCACAGCAATAGAAAGCTAACTAGAACGAGCAAAACACTAACAAGGCGCTTGGAGATGCCAGAAGTATACAAGGAAAATGCTGTTTCCAAATGGGAATTTCTTGCAGGGTTTGGTACAGCGGCTTCTGCCTCCAGCAGTTAAGGACACACCCCTACGGTGGATGTTCATCTGCTCTCTCCCCTCCCATCCGGAACACAGAAACAAAATTCCCTGCTCCCTTCTGTTCTCCTGGAGCACAGTAACTCACCACAGTTGTCACCCTGTGGTAATTGTCGCCCTATGAAACATACATGTGGTTTAGGGAGCGCTGTTCACCTCAGACTGGCTCGGATTTGGGGCTATTTTTAACTCCACTTTAGGAACAAGGAGACTGCGGCTCAAATTACAACCTTGAGCCAGGCGTTGGTGGCGCACGCCTTTAATCTCACCCAGCACTCGGGAGGCAGAGGCAGGCAGATCTCTGTGAGTTCGAGACCAGCCTGGTCTACAAGAGCTAGTTCCAGGACAGCCTCCAAAACAATAGAGAAATCCTGTCTCGAAAAAAAAAAAAAGAATCAACCTTGTTGGAGATGGCTTGGCTCTGAAGGGCGCTCACTGCCCTCCCGGAAGTCCCTTTTCGGTTCGCGGTACCCACGTGGTAGCTCACAACCATAAGTGACTCCAGCGCCAG